ACTAAAACAATTTTAAAAAGCAAAACAAAGTTGAAAAACTACTGCAAGATTTATAACATTATTGTGAGGCAGGAGTAAAAAGAAAGGCATATTAAAAATGAAACGCAAAGAAATAGGCCTATATTCCTCAGGTGAGTTTCAGCAAAGCCTCCAAAGGAAGTCAACACAGAAATGGTAGTTACCTTTAATAAGCGATGCTGAAATAATTGAGCATCTTTAAGAAGAAACATTTCAATTCAAACCTTATGCCATATATAAAATGTAAATCAGATGAGATCACTGACCCAGGTGCAAAACCCTAAAACTATAAAATATTTAGAAAATATTAAGGCAAACTGTGATCTGGAACTAGGTAAAGATTTATTAGATAATATACAAGGAGCACAGACTATATTACAATTCTATTCTTTTTTTTTTTTGGTACCAGGGATTGAACTCGTGCTCTTGCGCTTACAAGACAGGTGGCAAAAAAAAAAATTTAATTAAAAAGTTTGCTTCTCCAAGAAACAAGCTTTTAGAACACAGAACGTTTCTGCAACTCAGTAAGGGGAGGAGAAGCTCCGCACAGACCAAGCAAGCCGTGGATTCTCCAGCAGACCCTACTGGGTGCTCTCTACCTGCTCGGCCTGTGACAACCAGAAGCAGTGAGAGTGGGGAGGAGGAGCAGCCAGGAGGAGAACACAGCCTTCCAGGTCACACCCGCACCCCTCTCTTCCAACAAGGTCCCGCCTCCTAACAGCTCGTTCAGCTGTGGTCTAACTGAATTAACCCTTGGTGAGCATAGCACCCCCACACCCAGTCACCTTCCAAGTCCCACCTCCCAGCGCGTGACATTCTTTGGGGAGACATTTTAAATCTAAATCATAACAAAGTTTACATCTTAAACATCTTCAAAACCTGGAGGGTTGAAGCCTTGGTCTCCGGTGTACCAGTGCTGAGAGGTGGAGCATTTAGAAAGTGATTAGATCGTAAGGTCTCTAACTTTATAAGTGGATTAAGTCATTGATGATTTCATCATTTATAGCACTGTTTGGAAGCGATGAAAATTTAGATGAAACCTCGTTGATGGGAATGGGACATGGTGATCTCTCCCTCTCTCTCTTTCCCTCTCTCTCTCTCTCCCTCCCTCACCTCCCTCCCTCTCTCCCCCTCCTCTTGTCCTCCGCTTCTCTCACTGCTTTACCACCACGAAGTAAGTGGCTTTGCTTTCCCACTTCCTTTCACCTGATTATGGCCTCGTCACAGACCCAGAAACAATGGGGCCAGAACATGGACTAAAACCTCTGAAACTTCAGCCAAAATAAATTTGTCTTCCTTTCAGTTTTCTTTCTATATGGGTATTTTATCGGAGGCGGGGGAGATTGACACAAGGATGTACTGTATAATCCGGTAAAACTTGATAGATTGTGACATCATAGCTGGCGCAATCAAATCTATAGTGACAGGAAGTAGAAGAGGAATTTTCTACCTTAGGAGACATACTTGGGGAGAAAGATGGGGGAGTTACAAAAGTCATGAGGAAGCTTTTGTAGTTAATTTATATATTCACTATCTTGATTGTGATGATAGATGGACATATACACATATCAAAACTTCACATTTTACTCTTCAGAGATGGAGATGATGCTCAGTGGTACAGTGTTAGCATATGCAAGGCTCTGTGTTCAATTCCCAGCACCACAAAGCAAATTACTCTTTAAATATGTTTTATTCATTGTATATCAGATGTATCTCAACCAAACTGTTGTCAAATGGTAGAAGTGGTTAAGAAACTGTCACCATAATCCAGGTGAATGGCAGAGGCTTCCAGTAAAGTTAAACGTGGAGATGGAGAGGAGTTGAGAGAATTAAAATGCATTTTGGTGGTACAGTCAAGACAATTCGTTGATGTATTGAGTAAGAAAACAAAACCAATCAGCTCTTTGGTTTGGAATTTAAACAGTGGAATAGATGCTAGGGACATTTCCTGAGGTGGGAAAGACTTGGGGATAGGAACATGTGGATAATATGTATCCCGGCATTGTTTGGGATAGACAGGAATCACGGCAAGCTAGGGGCCCATCATAAAGAGAATGGATACATCAAATGAGAAAATGCAGTGGCTAAAAGGGTGAATGCCATGCACACAGAGTAGCACAGGTAGATCTCAAAAACATGCTGTGAAAAAAGTAAAACAGGGAGTTTTATTTTAATTAAACATGATATAAATAAAAAAGAAAACTATTTCAAAATGATGTAAGCATGCTCAAGGACTCAGTCAGACATCAAAGTATATTTCTGTGGAGGACAGAGACGCAGTGAGCACAGAGGAAGAAGAGAAAAGGTAAATAGAACACGAGGGACACATGTATGAACTGATACAGAGATTGACTGTGAACTGGAGAGTTTGATTAATCGCCGTACCTGATGTCCAAAGAACTGTTTATTAAAGTACAGTAAAATAATTTTGTAAAATAAATTGGACAATAGCCCAAGTTCTTCTGGCAATACAAGGATGATATGACCTTATTTCCATTTTTCCTACTGAGCCCTCAGATGTGATATAGCTGTGGCCTCTGCAGAGGTTTTTTTCCTCTCTCCCTCTGGGTTTTCTTCATTTTCATTTTGTTACTGCTCTGTTTGTAACTTCAGTGCATGTCTTATTCCAAACACTGCGCTTCCTGGGTAAGTTTATTGTCTAATGTTCATCAAAGGGATCAGCTGTAGAATTTAAGCACTAATAGAAATCTTTAAATTTCTAGTTTTAACAAACTTTCTCTCACCAGACAAGGCAAAAGCACTGAGTCGTAACCAACCCACCAACCCGAGCCCCTAGTGACTACATCTAAGGAACCGACAAACACCGCGGAAATGAGCTGTGATTTCCACCTCAGCACCCTTAAGCAAGACAGAGCTGGGAAGAACCAGACCCACTGCCGATGATGACCGGTGAGGAACCCTTACAAGAGGACTGAATTCCGCCCAAGGGAGGGCTGCACACATCCTGTCTGCTCAGCTGACAACTCAAAGGCCTACTGCGTCCCTTTACCTTTCTTTGAAAATGAAATCATTCACCTACAGCGGCCAAGCGGTGACCTACGTGGAGTCACTGACACTGGATCCTTACCACAGTGGGGGTCACCGCCACCCCATCCACACATTAGGGACCCTCTGCCCCACAGCCAGCCTCCAGAGGTTAGAGGGCATGAGAGCTTGCTTACACTGCCTCCCGCTATCAGCATAATATTCAGAGTACACTGGCCACTGGAGGCCTCTGGAGCCCCCAACTGATGCTCACGGGGTGACTCAGAATTAGGACATGGTGTCCTAACAGCCTTTAGCCCTTCCGATATATGGCTGCCGTAAACAACTAGAATAGGTATTTTTAAATCTTTATTTTTATTCATTTATTTATTTAATGTTAAATATTAATATAGAGATGAAGACAAACAGTGGACAATTCAATGTCACCAACAAGAGAGACTGACAGCGTCCTTCAACACTCTTAGTGTATCTTCAAACAGCACCTTCTCTAGTGCTGTCGAGCTCTACCGGGAGAAACACTGTTTCTGTCCTTTTCGAGGTTCAAGCGCCTCAACCACATAAACTGCTTCTGTAAAATTTCCCCTGTGAAAATGCTTTATCAGATTAATGACTATGGCGAAATTAATATGCAAATCACACACTGCGTAAAAAGGACGCAGTCACACAATGGCTTATTCGACCACATCTACCCATGTTCAGAAAAAACACATGCAGTCAAGGGTAGTCTTTAGATCAGTGCAAAGGGCCAGGAAGCAGAAAGCACCACCCTGTCCTCACCTACTTTTCACACCTTCTGTCCTCACAGCATTGTTGTTTAGAATGAAGATTCGTCTGCAACGGGCCACTGCTGGATAAAGTATGTGAGCAGGAACAATGAACATGTTTACCCCTTCGCACACATAAAATCTCCCTGCACGCGTTCTATACAGACACACCTTACGCACAGTAGGACACTACCGGCACTGTACATTTGCACATTTCCTCAGATGATCCCAGAATATAACATAAAAAGACGTATTTTGAAATTTTTGTTTGTCTTATTTGGTTTTTATTTTCAGTAATACATAGCTGTACACATTCGTGGGGCACAGTGTGATAGTTCGACGCATGTATAAAATGTGCGATGATCAAAGAAGGACAATTATCACAACCATTGCCTCAAGCAGAAGGGAGCATTCAAAGTTCTCTCTTCCAGCTCTCTTGTAGTCCATAACAAATTCTTGTTAACTACATTCACCCTACCGTGCTAAGAGAAATTTGAGAAATTACTCCTCAAATCTATTAACCGACCTCTCCCTCTTACCCTCCCTGTTTCCTAGTCCCTGGTAACCACTATTCTATCCTCCACATATATGAGGTCGACTTTTTAGCTTTCGTACATGAGTAAGAACACAAAGGATTTGCCTTTCTGAGTCTGGATCATTTCTCTTAACATAATCTCCGGCTCACCTATGTTTCTGCAAATGACAAGATGCCATTCATTTTTATAGCTGAGTAATTTTCCACTGTGTATATAGGCCACATTTTCCTTATCCACTCATCTGCTGAGAAAAGAAAAGTATATGTTTGGCAGAGATGACAGAGGTAATGATCAGGCAGCCAGCCTGAGTTGCTGGAGTGAACTCCTAAAACCAAACTTTTATGTACTTCATAAATCTACTAAATCTGCACTGTAAACTATTAGCCTAACACCTTACTAGTCTCGAAGACAATTCATCAGTAAAGCATCAATCCCTAGGGCACATCTTCCACACAGAGCCCTAACTGGGTAGTGGCGCTCACTCAACATATATTCATGGCTGGCCCAGCATCCCAGTGGCCAGTTCCATTGCTTCAAAGTTTGTTTTGTTTTGGTGTGTGTGTGTGTGTGTGTGTGTGTGTGTGTGTGTGTGTGTGTTTTGTACCAGGGATTAAACTTGGGACCTTGTGCTTACAAGGCAGGCTTCGGAACCACTGAGTTAAATCCCCAGCCCTCTTCAAAGATATTTTGAAGGTATTTTTTAGAGATCAAGGTCTGAGGCTCAGGACAGAGTGGCCGTCCATCAAAGTCTGACCTTCTTACAGACCCACCGTAAGGGAACTTCACAGCTGGAGCCTTGGAGACCAGCTCTGTTGAGAGCACCACACCTCTGCACCAAGCTGTTAGAATAAACCCTGCAAGGAATCGGAAAAGTCCATCACTCCCAGCCACATGCAAGGGAAAGGAACCAAAGAGCACAAAGGGATAAAACTTGAACAAATTCTCTCTTCTTATTTAAACCCCTGAGCTCCCAAAACAGCAGAAGAATAAAAATTGTTTCTCAGCTTCTCTTGAAAACATCATCTTTTAATTTTTGCCCTTTTTTCCTTGTTCCCTCTTTCCCTCTCCTTTTCACCCTTTCATCTCTGGTCTGTCTGCTTCCCCTCATCTACTTCTCAAAATCCCCTATTTTTTCTTTCCTTTTTCTTCTTTCTGCCCAGCCCCTGCCATTCCTGAGAAGCTCTTTACCTTGAAAAGTTTAGAACTGATCCATCTTCCCACGTCCAGCTAGAATTTTTTCTCAAACCAATCCAGCGAAAGTCCTGATCAATTAAATTTTGGAGTAGGCTCTAAAGGACAGAGTGAAGGAAATGAAGAAAGGTGAAAAGGATGCAGAAAACCAAAGAGATTTTCTGTCCTGGTCAATTATTCCTTACTTTTCCCTTATGACCTCAGTTGGGGACTGAATATTTTTGTCCCCTTAAAATGCGTATGTTAAGCTGTACCCATGATGGGATTCATGTCCTCATAATAGGGAGGCCCAGAGCTCTCTCCACCAAGTGAGAACACAATGAAAAGGAAGCCTTGCCGGGCGTGGTGGCGCACACCTGTAATCCCAGCACTCAGGAGGCTGAGGCAGGAGGATCTCTGTGAGTTCGAGACCAGCTTGGGCTACACAGTGAGTTCCAGGTTAGTATCAACTACATAGCGAGACCCTGTCTCAGAAAACCAAAATAATAACAATAATAATAATAATAATAATAATGATAATAATAAATAACATTCCATGACTACATAAACTTTTTTTTTTAAAGGCAGCCTTTTGCAAGCTGGAAGGGGACCTGTTTAGGAACCACATCTGCTGCACCTTGAACTTGGACCCCACCCCCCAGCCTCCAGAATGATGAGAAACATGACTGTTGTTTAGCCATCTGCTCTATGGCATTTTATTCTAGCAGCCTGAACTAGGTCAAACCCCCTTTCCAAATAACTAATTCCTTCCTCAATTTCTCATTCTGCAGATGTGCAGAATGCAAAGAATGGCGGCTTCCTGGAACTGACTGTAATTAACTGTCTGTAATTACATTCTTATGTGACAGATAAGACAATGTTACATCTCTACCTTCCACTGTGACTTCCTTCTTAATTCTATGGAACACCTCATGGACACAAAAGAAAAAAACAAACGTCGCTACAAAAGCAGAATACAGGAATTATGGCTAAGCCTGCAGCAATATACTTGTGTGTTTCCCACTGAACTCTCATTTTCCAAATTCTCATCAACCTTGTATGTGACAAGAAAAAAGTTCAGGAGCTGAGGATTAGCTCAGTGGTTCTGCCACCTGCCTCACAAGTGCAAGGACCCAAGTTTGCTCCCCAGTACCAAGAACTAAAAATAAACAATTTCTTAAGGGAACAACCCTAAGAAAAAGTTAAACTGGTTATACCAACTACCTATGCCATGCTACCCAGTAGAACAGAGTTAAAAGATGCCTTGCTCTACACAAGTTTACAATCAGAGAAGTTTATGCCCTAAGGGAATCACTTCTGTAAATGAAATTTTTAAAAAAGATAAATCTAAGAAGGTTGATTTTGCTGTAAGATTTGGTGTAAGTATAATAATTTCATTTTCAATATTTTCTAATGACAGATCAATAAATTGAATTTGAATTTAAACAACTGAGTGACTTATCTGGGAGAATATAGTCATTTTTATACAGAAACCAAGAAAGCAATGAAATTTCAATTCTTTTTTTTTTTTTTTTGGTACCAGAGATTGAACTCAGGTCTTTGTGCTTGTAAGGCAGGCGGCGAAACCACTGAGCTACATCCCCAGCCCAAAATCCCAACTCTTTATACATATTTTGATACCACTAGATGTTCCATCTTGCTATCATTTTTATTCTATTCTGATAAGATGACTGTCCAAGAATAAGAACTCTTAGCTGTCTTCTTTTACCAGCAAGACAGGCCTAAAACACCTCTGCACTCATAGCTTTTTAATCCTAAAAATATAAAATCCTTTCCATATATACAACATACTGCATGGCATAGACTTTCAACTACCTCTACTCACTAGCTTCCAGCCGCGGGACCTCCTTTCTGTTCCTTTACTGCCCACGCACATTCTTGTGTTAGGGTCTTCGCATAGCTTTTCCCTACGTCCTAGATTTTCACATGACTGGCATTCAGGTGTCACCTCACCTATTCCTCCCAAGAAGGGCCTTCCTTCATTGTCCCGTCTAAAGCAATGCCCACATTCACTACCATAGTGCAGTTTCATTTCCTTCAAAGAATACAGCACCACATTTATTTGTTTTCTTTTTGTTTTGTTTTGGTGTCGGGGATCGAACTCGGGTCCTTGTGCTTGTGAGGCAGGCAGTGGAACCACTGAGCTAAATCCCCGGCCTGTTTGCTTTTTTGTTATCTGTCTCTTCTGACTAAAAAATGTAAGCACTATAATGCTTCCAATAACCCCAGCACCTAGAAGATTTATGAAACTATGTTTAGTAAATATTCATAGAACAAAAGACTACAGAGTCAGGTATTATGTTGCAAGAGACGAAATCCTCCTTAAACACAAATTCACCCCCATGGAGCAAAAATTGTTTATGTTGGGAGCCAGGGGGTAGACTGAAAATGAAAGAAAGGATAAGAGAAATGAAACCAACTTGCTTAAAAAATTATTTAAGTTAGGGTGGGATGAATGTTTCCTCATTTCTCCATCTGATTTTTCAGGAGTCCATTTCTTTGTCTTGTCATTTCAGGATGAGGAAGAGCAATTAATAAAACATACAAACGAATAAAGATGTGCTCAAAAATTTCAATTAGTGTCTGAAGCACTGGGCTTAAATGCTGCCCACGCATACACTCGGGCCTATGCCCACCAGCTGCTCTCAGATCCACGCCATTCTAAGCCATGGTTCTCCACGTGCTCAGAGCGAGTGTGTGCATGTGCGTGGGTGTGCAGATACATGTCAGTGACTGTGAAAAAAAAACAGAAAAAGCATTAAAGTATAAGTAAGGGTGTTAACTCAGAACTCCTGTCCCCCAAAGGGTGTGAAATAGAGCACTTAGGTGTCACTTTGAGCTTGTAATGTTTGCTTGTATTTCAAAAAGAAAAATCACAAACACTAAAAATGACAAAGTAAAAAGAGAATCGATTTTTCTTTCCTTTTCCTTTTTTTTAGGTCCATATTCATAACTTTACACATACACAATTCTGTAGGTACTCTTTATAAAGTGAAATTAAAACAGTATTAAGGCACACAACACACTCCTTAAACTTTCAAAGTTAACACGGTTTAGGAAGTGTAAGTTATGTCAACACATATCAAGGAAAAATCAATACTATACAAAAACTACTAAATTAGTCAAAGCTTGTGACTAGCTCAACTCAGTTTTAGCGAAGAGAACACAAAACGATCCCAAGAAAAAAATAATCCACGTGAATGGATTCGTGGCTCATAATAATTACACAGAGGTAGAATTTTGTCTAGGAAATGAAAAGATTTTAGCAGCAATAGGACAGGACACACTTATTATTATATTAATTATTATAAATCCTATTGTTTATTATTTAAAATATTATTATAAATAGTTTCTAAAAATCAAACAACTTAACAATGTTTTTAATTACCAGGAATAATTTGGCGGTAGGAAAAACACAGAAATGAAAATAATGTTATGTGCTAAAAGCAGAACATAAAGTACAGGGTGTCCAAAATCCTAGAAAGACAGAATATGTGATTTTCTAACATTTGTCTCATATTTGCAAGTAATGTCGCTGACACGTGTGATCTAAGTTTGCTGCGGTGACGTCCTGTGTGATGACTCCTGCTCCTGTCTGTTGGTGTTCACAATGCGGGCAAATTCTGCTATTTGCTCACTTCCACCACTGACTGCAGGCAGCTCAGGCCTCGGAGGCCCCTCAACCAGAACAAGACTAGAACACCAGGCCACTATGGCCAGAGGCCGTAACACACAGATCTCATGTCTACTGCACAGACCCCAGTGCGCTCTGCCACTTAGCCAGGGTAGGCAAAAAGGAAAGGAAAGTTACAGGAAGGGCGATTCAGGGCTTAGATTCTACCCAGAATTTCAAGAGAATGAGTGAAGCTTTGACACAAACAAGAATTGAGATGCTGGAATCTTTCCTTAAAATAGGAAAGAGTTATGAAATTTAAGGTCTGTATATTCTTCTTAACTGCTTTAGAGTAATTGCCTTTCTGGATTTCCCCAAGGGTTAATATAGTTAAATTCTTAATAAGCAGTCCTCTGTGATCTGACTCTACTCAAAAAAGAAAACAGCAATATCAAACATAAAAGTCAGCATGAAATTCACACTAAATCAAACTGGGATTTCTTATTTTCATTGTGTATGTTCATCCTTATTCAATCTGATAGATTTTTGTAGCAGGTGTCAGTTCCTTGTATGGCCTTGAGATGCTCCAAGGCTAACAGAGACTTCTCCTCAGAGGAGAGACTGCTGAGTGGACAAGAAGGACCTGAGAAGCCTGTAGGAAGAGAAATCCTACACCTGAGCTCTGCATGTGTTTAAGCACACAGCACCCGCTTCCCTTCTTCCCTTCCTCCCTCCCTTTATCTAAAATTTCTGAACATTGTTTCCAGTCTAACTTTCTGAATTCCAATGAATAAAAGGCAGACATTAAAAAGAAAACATTTAATGACCCAGGCATGGTAGTTCAAGCTGGTAATCCCAGCAAACTGGTAGGCTGAGGCAGGAGAACCACAAGCTAGAATTCAGCCTGGGCAACTTTACAACTTAGAGAGGCTCCGTCTCAAAATAAAAAGGGCTGAAAGCCAGGTGTGGTGGCGCACGCCTGTAATCCCAGCACTCGGGAGGCTGAGGCAGGAGGATCACTGTGAGTTCGAGACCAGCCTGAGCTACATAGTGAGTTCCAGGTCAGTCTGAACTACATAGTGAGACCCTGTCTCAAAAAGCCAAAAATAATAGGGCCAGGGATTTAGCTCAGTGGTTCTGGCACCTGCCTCACAAGGTCAAGGACCCAAGTTCTATCCCAGTACCACAAAAAAAAAAAAAAACCGGAGACACTGTCTCCCTAAATCACTGTATTTCCCAGACTGGTTTCAATCTACTCATCCTCTAGCCTCAGCCCCTCCTACAGTGCTGGAATCACAGGTGTGCACCCCCACGGCTGGCTAAAAGCTTACAGTTCCTAAATGATGCTTTTATTTACCATCTCCTGATTGTCCAGAATCATAAGGAGATGTGCATCTCTGGCTGTGCAGAATTCCAAACTAGAATTCCAGTCCTTTTGCTCCACTGAGAAATAGTAACAATGGTTAGCATGTCTCATCCAAAAGTCCGGGCAGCTGGGACAGCTGGCACAAGTGGCGCGGTTGGGGCCTAGAAAGGAAGAGGAAGATGGTTCACGTTTTCATGGAGTCAACAGCCTCAGAAGAGATAAGGGGAACAGCATCCCCAGTGTCTCCCCCTCTCCTCCCCTTTCAGATTAAGGTTTGAAGAAATGAGTAACAATGTGAGGCCTCCAACTCCACCAGCACCAGTGCACTCCCCACGCAGCAAAGCTGTGACAAGGACTGGCGGGGCCGGGAAGGAAAGGAGGCGCCACGTGCCTGATGGCGAGAAGAGCACATTACTCACACTAACAAATCTCTGTGCCACTGATACACACACCAGGCGGCATAGCTGTGCACCTGCCAAACGCAGCCCCGTGTGCTGCCTGCACTTGCTCAGCGTGGCCACTGTGGCTGCACAGTGCACACTGCCCAGCAGGCTCGTCCGGCCGCGTGACACCCAGCCGATAGGCGAGTCAGAAAGAACCAATGACTAGACCACAAGGCTTATTATCCCAGATGTGATTGTCTATCACGCTGGAAATTAGACAACCTACTTAGACTTCAGCAAAGATTATTTACTTTAGGAAACAATTCTGACAGAAGAATATCAGATATCCAAGTGAACAGTGACAGAATTCTTCACTCGGTCTCTTCAATACAGATGATCCTCAGCCTCAGAGTTTAAATGATTGCACTGCAGCTCTGTCAAAAGGGAGGGATGGGCTTCTGAGATCAAGCCAAAGCAGATTCTCTGAAACATGCCTGCATAATCTCATCACGAGGACCATTCTGCAAGTGCAAGCCCTTGTTCCATGTGTGTAGATGTGTTACTGCAGGGTAGGTTGCCTGTCTAGGTTCAGTGTAGTTCAGAAGTGGGGAAGCAGATCTTTTCCATGTAAAGATTAGGTAGTTTCCTGTGGGAAGGCCTGCAAGGGACCAGTGTAGGCTACTGCAGACCACGCTCTTAACCTGGCACCTTACAGACTTAGCCTTTTTTCCATATAACTGTGAGACTTCCCATCCCCTGCATCAGAAATCCCTAATGTCGCTAAGAGTTTCTTTCTGTCAAACATAGGACATGAGTGTGAGGGACAGACCCTGGGGCTGAGTCCTTAGGATCCTAGGCATGAGCCATATCAGCACTTTCTGTATAAGCAGTCATTACCCGTAACACGAGCTACGTGAGGACTCTAATTGCGAGACAATAAACTGAGAACCCCTGATCACTACCTTTAAAGTCCTAAAAGAACCAAACCTAGAAAAGTTAATTTTAGAAAATATGGAAGCTCTTAAATGGCAAAAATATCAGAATTAAATTCCTTATGTGGAAGGATAAACGCCATTAATGTTAAAATTTAATTGTCATGATAAATGTGATAGTGTAGTAGGAAAAGGTTTATGACACAATATGAAATTTAAAATATACAAAATTATAAGTATGATTAGAATTATTCCATCTTGTTTAGAAAAAACAATATTATGGGAGTGATTTTAAGAGGATTTGTTTGCAATTATGTTAAGAAAATAAATGTTAAATAAGCCAAAATGAGGAGGCCACATTGAGAAAATAGCTATGTACAGGCAGTAACTTATTTTACTGAAATTATTATTTTCATTTTTCAATTTTTCTGTTTTATAATTTAAAAAGGATAAAATGAAATGTTAATTTGGGTTTAAGTTGGCACCCACCTTGGCCCAGAATCCACTGGCTCAGCAGCAAACTTGCAAGAAGTACGTTCAAAAGGCCCAGCACTATCACCACAAGACAGAAAAGAGAAGGCCTAGAAGAAGATGCTGCAAAAACAGAATCCAAAGGAAACTCCTGAGTCCAAGGAAAGGTTGAAAGGAAAGGGAAGGCTGGGATCTCTGAAGTAATTTGGCCCGAAGGAACTGACACAGGGGTCACAGGCCGGGGATTTAGCTCAGTGGTGCCACTGCCTGCTTCATAAGCACAAGGTCCTGAGTTCGAACCCTAAAGAAAACTTTTCCACTTAACTTGTGGCTTACATGTTTTTACTACTTCTGTAGTAATGATATAAATTCAGAATTTGGACAACAATTTGACACCCTTTACCAAAATTGCAAAGGTATTTACATTTTAGCCCAGCAATTTCTCTTCAAGACATTTTTCCTACCGATACCCAGATGTGTAAAATGTCTTCTGTGTAAAGCCATTCACTGTCATCCAAAGAATAAATTCGTTTGATATAAACATAGTAAATGTGCTGCTTCTAACAAAGAAATGCTTTTTTTTCTTATATGGACTGATTTTCAAAATACAGTTACACCTAAGAAACATTTTCCAAGACAGGGTGTAGCAATATTTCTGCAAGTGCACCTGAGACTCTGGTGATACTGCTTATCTCTGGGGAGAGATTGAAATAGTTGCTTTTCTGACAAAATCTTACTGTTGCCCATTAGCAAAACCACTGGTGTCTTTTCTCATTTCGTAGTCAGAAAAATGAAGATGTCTAGAATTTAAACAGCCAGACCAACGCTTCTCTAAACGTGACTAGAGATAAAACTCTCCCATCAACGTGATTGCTTTAATTCGGGATCATTAAAGAACCGACGGCACTACGGTGGCTTGGAATTGGATGAGAGCCTAGAAGCGAATGAGTAGAAATGAATTTACCTGAGACCTGAGGCCTGAGATCAAATCCCATACCACACATCAAACTTCTGGAGTCCAACACAGGACTTCAAACTGGACTCAGAGTAATTTTTCAAACAATCTTCAGTTTGTCTGCACCTGCTACTCCAAACTTCCTCTATTCTCCATTCATCGCTGACCTGTGCTTATCTGCGGATTCCCACGCTCCCTTGGCTAACTCACCTCTTCGCTGCGGGCTGCAGTCATCCTGCACCTGGACCGTGCTGGGGAGCTCTAATGTGCAATAGATGGCATTGCTCCTTGTCTCCATCGGGGGGATATCTCTCGCACTCAGCGGTGAGAGCTGGGTTAGAGAAGGGTGAGGTGCGTAGCAGTGCGGAGGCAGCCCAGTCACCGGACTGGCAGCAGGAAACTTGACAAAAGCAGAAGTAATTTTGCAGGAAATGATTCAAATTCTGGGGCTGCCTATACACACTGATACTCAGAACTGTTTTAAAAATTGGTTTCCTTGCCTGCACCTTCTAGATGCTCATGAAAACTATCTTCATTGGACTGTCGGTCTTACCTCATTCCACTGAGCAAAGGGCAGCAACGCTTCTCAAATCCAGCAGAGGACCTTAGAATACAGATGAGAGGGTGCCTCACATTTGTCTCAAATTTTTTTTCCTCTGCTTTTATTCCTTCTGAGAAAATAGATGAACCAAAAATGGGACTGATTTCACCATTTTGTGGGCCTTTAGAGTAAACGATAAATGATAGAGAGATAAACCACTGACTGCATGTACTATAATCACGGGAGAGATGGGCTGTTCCTCAGTTATATGTTGTAAAAATGATGTAACACTTGTCCTTCCCCAAAACATTCTTCCAACTGTACTCTAATGTTTACTCTTAACGCTGTCTGAAATTTCATTAATTTTCCTTAATTCTGTTTGCTATTTGTCACAATGGTTATTGAAAGAACCAAGTATGTATTGCATGAAAACATTAAGCCCTTTTCCTCTTCGCTCAAATAAATACCATGGTAACTGGGGGAGGGGAGGTTGCTTTAGATTTAAGGACATACATAGGCTGAAGGGATGTGAAGAGATATTCCATGCACAAGGGTACCCGAGAGCATGAGAGACCATGCTTACATCACACAGAATGTGCGTTAAGTAAAAAACTATCTCTAGAAAAAAATCATTTATAATGACAAAAGGGTCAGAAAAACACAACAATAATAAATACATATGCACCCAAAGTAACAGCATATGAGTATATAAAACAAACAATAAAGGGCTGGGGACGTATCTTCATGGTTGAATGGTTGAGTACTCAGACTCCAGTACAGCAAAACAAATTAATTAATTTAATTAAATAAATATAGACAGCAAGGGAGAAGCTGACAGCAGTACAGTAATGAGAGGAGACTTTAACACTTCACTTTCAAGAACATCATCCAGGCATAAAAATCAATAAATCAACAGCTCCCTTGAATACACAGACCAAATAAACCGAATAGATATATTCAGAACTTTCCACCCAACAGATTGCCCTTTCTCCAGCATGGCTCATAATTAGGTCACAAAACAAATTCTTATCAAATTTTTTAATTATCATGTGATCCCAAGGATCTTTTCTAGACTCAGTGAAACAAAACTAGAAATTGAGAACAGTAACAAAATGGCAAGACTCACATTTAGATACCACATTCTGGACAACGTCTGGGTTGAAAAGGAAATTAAAAGGTAATTTTAAAAATGTTTTCAAGGGCCAGGATTTAGCTCAGTGGTTCCACTGCCTGCCTTGCAAGCAACAGGACCTGAGTTCGATCCCTGATATCACCCCCATCAAAAAAAAAAATTTTTTTTTTCCAGCGAGTATCTGGGTGACTTCTAGGTGGCCACTTAGCAGTCCATCCCCTCCCCGTTGCCAAAACTCTGAAAGATGAATGGGCAGGCTGATTTTCCAGAGCCGAATGCAAAAATTCCGAGACCGATTCCCCTCACAGGGGCTGATTAGATTCTGACAGAGGAAAAAAAGAATGTTGGCAGAAGGCAGTGATGAAGGCCTCTGGTTCATATCTGTGCCGCTGACTGCCACGAGCATGTTGATGACTCAAGGACTGCTTGGTAAAGGAATTCCCTCGAGTCATCCCAGATTTGGTTCCATCCCTGAACTTCTATGTGCTCATATTGTGGGATACTTTGCTGGAAAACTTCCTTATGTGAGAACTTGCTAAGAAAAGTTCAAGAATCTCGAAAATTCTCCTCTTGGGGAAGCTTTACGATCAGGACAAACACGACGATCCTCACCACTACCTGGGCACGATTCTCAGAAGTCAGAATGTGACTTAAATGTGAGTGGTCAAGTCCTCTTTTGTGACCTCCCAGCAGCAGACGACATAGAAAACTGTGAGCCAATTCCATTCAGTGCTGCTGTGAATGAATCCCTTCCCACTGGTATTTCCCACCATACTGCCCAAGTCAAAGTAAACAAATCTGGAGATATTTGGGTGAGTGAAAAAGTGCATCACTGGACACACTGAAGGGCTTTCAACATCCAGCTTCAGCGGGGTGATCGTGAAATACTTGCATGCTCTGAGCTCAGCAGCAGTCTTCATAAATGCATTTAAAACTAAATTCTGGATTTTTATGGCTTGACTTATTGTGATATTTAGAAAAAAACAGATTTTAGCATTTCGATCATGTAAACGTAGTCGCCTTATAATGTAGATCATGTAAATGTCGATGCATTGGGGACTATGGTGATGGTGGTATTATGCCATGATTGTGTACAGTTTGTGAAACTTTTAAATTACAAGGCAAAGATACTCTTCTAAAACTATTAAGAGGCTGCAATGCTCTAGAATCTGCTTAAATGAAAATAAATGATATCTGCATGTTCAATCGGGGTGGTTGGGGGAGCAAGCATAATATTTGTGTTCTGCTTTGCAATGTTATGAAAAGCCTTTCTCTAGTAAAAAAAAAATAATAAAAAAATAAAATAAAAATATTTCCAGCTGAAGTTGGAGGTCATGGTACAGGCCTGCCATCCCAGCACTTGGGAGGCTGAGGCAGGATTGTGAGTTCAGGCTAGCCTGGGCTGCATAGCAAATAAAAATAATTCTGAACAAATGAAAATGATAACAAAATAACAAAACTTGTGAAATACAGCAAAAGTGGTACTAAGATGGAAATTTGTAACAGAAAACATCTATATTTTCAAAAAAGAAAGACTTGAAATAATCTAATTTCTCACTTCAGCAAGCCAGAAAAAAGAAGAAAAATCTATGTTCAATATTAGCAGAAAGAAAATAAAAGTCAGAGCAGAAATAAATCACAGAATAGAGAAAATAAAAAAGAATAAAATACTTAGGAATAAACTTAACCAAAGTGGTGACAAATTCATATGCAGAAAAAGATAATACATTGACAAAAACCCTGTGAAAAAAAGATACCTGTTGAGTGAATTAGAAGAATTACTATTGCTAAACCGGGCGTGGTGGCGCACTCCTGTAATCCCAGCACTTGGGAGGTTGAGGCAGGAGGATCGCTGTGAGTTCGAGACCAGCCTGGGCTACAAAGTGAGTTCCAGGTCAGTCTCAACTACATAGTGAGAGCCTGTCTCAAAAAACAAAAAACGAAAAAAAAAACAAAAAGAAGAAGAAGAAGAATTACTATTGCTAAAATATCCATACTGCCTATACTACCATTTGTGCTGCTACAACAAAATAACTGAGACTAGGTAATTTATAAGAATGAAACTTATTTCTCACAGTTCTGGAGGCTGAAAGTGAACTATCAAAGTGCCCACATGCTTGCTTTCCAATGAGGGCCCAGGCTCTGCTTCCAAGATGGCCACTGGCAGCAGCATTTTCCAGAGCAAATAAATGCTGTGTCCTCACACAGCAGAATTCAGGAGGGCAAGGGGACTAATGAGTTTCTCCCAGCCTTTCTAAGGCCTAACCCCACTGAGGATGATAAGCCCTCGTGAACTAATCATTTCCTGAAGGTCCCACCTCTTAATACTATCTCATTGGCAATTAGTTTTCAAAATATGAATCATATTTAGACCACAAAATCTTTTCTAGACTCAGTGAAATGAAACTAAGAAACAGTAATGAAATTAAGAACAGTAACAAAATGGCAAGATTCACATTTCGATATCACATTCTTGACAACCTCTGGGTCAGAAAGGGAATTTTAAAAATGTTTGTTTCGTGTCCATTTGAGAAGAATGCACATCCTGCTGCCATTGAATGGAATGGTCTGAATGTGTCTATTAGTTTCACTTGACCTAGAGTGTTATTTTTTCCTTTATTCAGTTACCAATGTTTTAGAGACATCTTTTAAAATGAATAAATGTCTTGGTATCTATACACATATGTATCTTTTCTTCATTCTATCTGTTCTTCATTCTCCTATATAAATCTAAACTTCTACCTGTTATAATTTTCCTTCTGGAAAAACTTCTTTTAAAATGCCTATTTGTGTTGTTGCTGCTGTTGTTTGTTTTTATGGTACTGGGATTGAACCCTGGGCCTCTCACATGCTAGGCAAGCATTCGACCTCTGTGGTACAGTCCCTCATTTATCTTTTAGTGATCTGCTTGCAATGAATTCTTTCAGCTTTTGTTTGTATGAAAAAAAATCATTTGCCTTCACTGTTTAAAGGTACTTTTGTGTACGTACAACTCTTGGTTAATAAGGTCTCCCATATCCTCCCAGTACTTTGAAAACATCTCATTTCTTCTGGTTTGCATAGTTCCTGATGTGAAGCAGGCTGCTATAATTTTGCTGGCTGCTTTTGTTTGTTTGGTTTTTGTTTTGTTTTGTTTTGTTTTTTGAGACAGAGTCTCACTACATAGTTCAAGCTGGCCTTAATCTCACTTTGTAGCTGACTGTTTTTAGGATGTTTTGTCCATCATTGCTTTTAAGCAGCTTGATAATAATATAGTTTGCCTTTTCTCACATTTCTCCTACTTAATACAGATTGAACTTCTTTGATCTGTGAATTTGTAGTTTATGGTCCTCAACATATGTGACAAAATTTTAGCCCACTTATTTCTTGTCTTTCTTGAAGCCCTAAACATATGTGTTAGATTGACTGATTGATCAATATTGTACCACAGGTCACTGAAGCGCTGGTCTTTTGTAGGGAGGAAGAGGAATCTTCTTTCTCCATGTGTTATTTTTTGGGGGTTTTGTTTGGGTTTTTTGTTGTTGTTTTGGGTGTGTTTTGGGGAGTTATCTTATGTTTGGGGTGGGGTGTTTTTTTGAGACAGGGTCTTGCTATGTAGCTCAAGCTAGTCTTGAACTATGTAGCCCAGGCTGGCCTCTTAACCTGCAGATCTTCCTGCCTCAGCCTCCTAAATGATGGAATTATAGATGTGCACCACCGTGCCCATCTTCTCT